ATATGTCAGGGGTTCAACTGGGCAGAGCCCTCTAGTGGGGTTCGACCTATTTTAAAGATATTTTTGGATTCTCTTTACTATTTCTCTTTGTATTTGGTTCATCAATAACATCTCTACACAATGTGTTTGATTATGTTGGGGAAATTGCCTAAAGACCATAGTATTTTAAAGCTTTTAGGAGGGGCAATTGCCTAAAAACCTTTGTAATAAAGACTAAAAAATACATGGAGGGGGACAAATTATCTAAAGAATCATATAATAAAGAATTTTTTTATTCTTTCAGGGGGCAATTGCCCACCCTGGTTTAAGGTGGCTCCGCCCATGGTTATATCCACAAAAAGTGAGTTCTTGATCAAATGAATAATTATTATTTGATAGTTAATTTTCAAAAACATTTTAGAATCAAAGGGGAAGAAAACCTGTCCTCCATCCAAGACACGCTATACAAATCTCCAAGGCAGGTATGATATTCAGGAGGTGGAGGGGGATCCATCCCTGGGCAATATGTTCCCCAACTGCTCTCTACTGAATTGGAAGCCGTTGTAACATATATACTTAGGTTATTGGGAAGCAATCCTTCAAATAAACTGCCACTCTCACATGATTCCACATAGATAACCTGTCAATGAACTCATTAGCACACTAGTACTATCCTTAATCAGGTACTGAACACCATAAAATGAAAACCATATCATCTAACCATTTCTTTGTAGCCGTTGGATTTATGTTTCTTCTTTAGTACATCTATAAAATCTTTAGCATAGACCAATGGCCCGTTTGGCATTCCTAGGATAACAGTAATTGTCAGCATGCAAGTTCCATGAAGAATCAAACCTAAAATCATAATAAAGATGGAGAATATTCAAGACCCACCAAGAACTCCAGGGCCTCCATGATCAGTGTAATAGATAAATATCCTATCATTGGGTTTGCTATTAACAACTTTGCCACTTCCTCCTTTAATTGCACTCTTGTTACCGAGGATAACTGCATATAGATTCTTTGCCGTGACATAATCACCAGTGTAATCCTGCAAACTCACACATCAAGAATAAGTTTAGAAGGCAGACTAATGCTTCGTTTGGGATGATGGCTTTCTTACTGCTTCTTAAAGCAGCTTTTTAATACAAAAATTAAATTTTTTAACTAGAAGACTGCTTTAAGAAGCGGTAAGAAAGCCGTCCCAAATGAAACCTAAATAAATCTCCTGAATATTTAAACTGCTTTCCAACTCATCATGGTCATCTTCATCAAAATTTGAATAATCATAAATATTTGTTATGAACTTGAAAATTCCTTGTCCACCGTTCATTTTTGTGATGCATGAAATCACTAACAAGAGCATTGCTTTTTTATACAAATATAATTTAAAAAGCTTTTAAAGAACAGTGAATTTGTGAGACATCCGAATCTAGAACATGAAAATTAAACATTCACACTTCACAGACCATGCATTAAGCATTTGCTCCTGTAATTGGAACGTCAAAGATTGAAAATTTTGGCAGTAATAAGTATAAAGAAGTAAAAAAAAATAGAAGGAGATCATGTAGCAGTGATAAAGTCGCCAAGCAAAAAATTACTCTTTGTAAACGTAAATATATGGATAAGGCTGCGCACAAATACTTTTCCCAGGTCCCTGCATTGCTGGAGCATGGGCTTGAATGCTCGATGTCACCTTATATTTAAAAATAAGTTATTTTCTAACTTATAACCACCTTCATATCATAAAAAAAGATAGAATAACAATCATTCAATCCCCACCCTCCACTGCAGAACTTAAAATCAACTAAGGCTCCCTTTGGAACGGCTATCTTACTGCTTCTAAAAACAGCTTTTTATACAAAATTTTTGCAATAAAAAATTGTTTTTAGAAACAGTAAGAAAGCCGTTCCAAATGAAGCATAAATTAAACAGCAGAATAACAACAGATTAGCGAAAAAACAGAAAAAAAAAAAAAATTGTTCCCTTTCTTGTCAGGATGCAATCATCCACAAAGGAAAACTTGACAAACAAAAAATTTTCACACAAGGTAAAACTTTTCAACAGAGCACGCAGAAACTTACCTTGGGGACACCCGCGTACACATCCTCACCCTTGGGATTATTAATTATTACACCAGGCCTCGGATTAAGCGAACTATTCGCCAAGTCATCGTACATAAGCACCACTATGTTCTCATCCTTCAATCCCCCTTTTCTCAACAACTGGTACGCGTGACACACATCTGCCTATCACACAACACCAGTAAATAGAACAATTCATTATAAAACAGTCAGTCAATAACTGCTATTCGATGAAACAAATCGTCAAACACCTGATGCCTATAGTTTCCGTAATCGGAAGAACCGGCGACTAGCACCGCCCACCGCGTGCTGGAATCAAACTCGTCGGTGGAGTCTTCCTTCATTGGCATTCGTGTTCCCTCGGCAAATGCGCGGGGCAGTGCGAGCGCAAAGAGCAGAACGAAACAGAGGACGCATTCAGCTGCCGGAAACCTAGCCATGGGAAAATAAGGAGAAAGGAATCAGCTTGCATTTGAATGAGAGCTTCGGCATGCTATAATATGGAAGAGGGAGTAACAAGGAGCACATTTCGATGAGAGAAAAAGGGGAAAAGGTGGCTCCTTTGGGAAATTCAGTTGGGTGTGGATCGTCGTCGTCTTCCTCAGTTGCTGCGGCGGCAAATGCGTTAAGGTCCATTGGAGGAGAAAGTAAGACAAGGGCTGCTGAGTATCAGGAACGCGTCAGTTGCCGCTTGTGAGGGAGAAGATTCAGGCTTTATATGAGCGTTATGTAACGTTAAGCCTTGTTTTGGAATTTAATGATATGCAAATTAGTACTATATAGGTGATTTTTGTTAATCTGACGGAAAAAAGAAGATGAATGGAGATATCTAGAATTCTATTTAGCTAAGGGTATTAAACGCTTATAAGAAATAAATATTTTTTATTTTATGTAAGAATATCTTAAACTTGCAAAAATAATTATCTACAATTGTTATCATGTGAAAATATTTATCTTGAGTGATAGGGATTATTAGAAGTCGACAAACGGTTGGCAGTTTTTTTTATCGCTCTCTTAATATTAAAGCCCATGGGTCAGGCCATCCAATGCACACAATTACTGGAAATAAACCGTAAGGACGGCCCAATGGGCCGACTGCTCTGGTTATCAGACTAAATGAATTAAAAATATCCAATTTAAAAGTTATAGAAAAGCTGGAGTAGCTCAGTTGGTTAGAGCGTATGGCTGTTAACCATAAGGTCGATATATATATATATATATACATATTTTAAGTTATATAAAGAAATATTAAATTCATTGAATTTAAAAATTATTGGAATATTTCATACCAAAAATTATATATATTTTTTATTTAAAATATTGATGATCAGAACGTTTTCCAAATTTGTCCTTTTATGTACTACGAGTCGAGGTCTACTTGGAGAAGAACCGGGTGAGTTTAGTCGAGCCGAATATATTTCTAATCAAGTTAAGTCTATTTAAATCTTGATGAACTTGAGCTTGGCTTGTTCAAAAATTATGACGCTCGTGATCAACTTGCTTAATCATAATTATGTTTGATAATATGTATAGTTTTTTTTCTTATTTCAAATGGCTGGTCTAGCATCATATATAAACTATCAAAAAAGTGCCCATCATTTTCTTGAGGGTGTTCTAAATAACCACCAAAATAATATAATTGAGAACACACAACACATGCCTATTATCGTTACTTCATGATCTTTGTTTCTCAATTTAATAGCTAAGAGCTATTCATTAAAGAAATATTTGTCAAATAAAAAAAATGCTTATCTTACTGCCTTAAAGGTCGAACAACCCTATTATACGAACTTTTATTAGGTCCGGTGTAAGGACGTAGAGGAACGTCTGGTCGGAGGCAAAATCCCGCCAAAAAACTCGGTATTTGCTCGGTATTACTAGGTATTATTTGATAATAATGAGGAATACCGCTTTGTGAAGATCAATACCAAGTTATACCGAATTGTACCGAGTTATTTCTAGGAAAAACTTGGTACAACTTTTGTATAACTCGGTATTGCTCGGTATAGCTCGGTATTGGGTCTTCACGTGATGGTATTCCTCATTATTGTTTGATATTGCTCGGTATTTCTCATTTTTTGGCGTGATTTAACCTCTGACTGGACGTTCCTCTACGTCCGGTCGGAGCATAATAATTGTTCCTATTATACAATTACCTAATGTGCATTTTTATTATCTTAAAATATGCACATAACTAATTACATGTAATCAAAGATTTTGAAGTGTTACTCAAATACGGATCGAGCTGTTGCTAGTTGGTTGCAGGGAAATTTCTTCCCAACTAATCCCAAGTGATTCATGCTCATAAACGGCCTAAAAAGTGCTATTAAACGTCTAAAATCAATCTCCTAACATACAAATTATCATGATTAATTGTTTTCACATCGAGCAATAACACAATTTTTTAAGAGAAACATTAATTATTGATATTTAAGTTTTATTTGTGACACCTTTATTATTGTTTCTTAAAATAATTTTCTAAAACAAAAATTTTAATTTTTTAACCAAAAATCTGCTTTAAGAAGCAATAAAAAAGTCATTCCAAACGAAGCCTTAGATTTCGTTTGGGCCAGCTTTCGTACTACTTCTTAAAGCAACTTTCTAGTACAAAAATTAAAAATTTTATACTAAGAAACTGCTTTAAGAAGCAGTAAGAAATTCGTCTCAAACGAAGCTTTACTTTGAAACAGCTTTCTTATTTCTATAAAAATTTCTTGAAAACAGTAAAAAATTAATACTCTAAAATTGTCCTAAACGAAACTAACGATATGGGTTGTCTTTCTTATTGCTTTATGAAACTATTATTGAGAAAATAACTTTAAAAAATTATTGAAGAAAGCAGCATTCTATTACAAATTATTTTGAAAGCAATAAAAAAGAAATAGTCAAATAAAAATTATAATTATAATCTAAAAAAAATAAAATAATAAGAAAGCTGTCCAATTGAAGACTTAATAGCAACAAACAGTAGTGAAATACACAGTAATGTATATGCTTAGAAGTTAGGAGATCAGAAGCATAGATGAATATGTTCGAATCATTTTTCAGTGAAAACCATTGTAATCTGCAGATTGTAATAAGAATCAACTCCCAAAAAATCTCCAATCCTATTACACGAGAAAAGTTTCTAATATAGGATAAATATACAACTCGATCAGTTGGCTAAGGTTTTCAAAGGAAAATACTTTCGTAAACAAAACGAACGTGAAATACAGAGAGCTAGAATCCAGTGAAGTCAACCAACGATGAATATGACATATTTTCATCAATTCCAGATTTCTCTTGCAATCTGCCCTCGCTAGCTTCTTCTATAACAGCAGAAGATAACGTGATTCTGCTATCTTCAAAGCCTGCCAATTCAAGCAATTGAAGTCTCGATAGCTTTGAATCCTCCAACGAACCATCCCAACTAGTATCAGCCAGAATTTCAAGACATTTTTCAACTTTGTCTTCAGCCATAAGACTAGTTGCGTTTTGCAAAAAGACCAGATATGCTTGATCAGCTGCGACTTTGCGTATCTGATTACTCATACAGAAGCGTTAAGTATTGATGAGAAACGTCAAAGGCAACACTAAATGAATAATCATAATAATCATCATTCTTCCTCAGCCTATATCATAAATATTATTGCTGAGTTCTACACGCTCTATTTTATACAAAATCTTTTTCTGACTGTAAAATGTTTGATCCATCAGTTTGCCATGTTAATCCCTTCAAAAAACAAAATGCATAATAACCCCCATAGTATTTATTATAACAAAAAAAATTATAGCAAATTCGAATGAAAGAATATGAATCTTTTGAAGTAGTTTTTTGTATGATCAACAACAACAACAAGGATTTTATCCCACTACAGAGGGTCGGCTATATAAATCATTTGTTGAAATATATTATGGTTTAAGATCAAAAAATGTTTTTATTAGAATAGGATATTCAACAAAGGTGGATGCGATATCTTATTAAGCTTTTCAATAAAGAATGTGACAATACGATTAATTTTAGTGACCTTAGTATCCTTAATGAAAATAGAGATTTTTAATTTTATCGGTGTATTAGTAAAACCAAAGTTAGTGAGACTTTAAAGAAAATAAAATGTGAAAAAGCTGTTGAACATAATGATATTCCAATAAAGGTGTGGAAATCTTTAGAAGATGAATAAATTTCTTAGCTTACTAAGCTTTTTAATATTATTTTGAAAACTAACAAAATGTCAGATGAGTGTGTTGATTCCTATTTTTAAGAAAAAAGTGAAGCACAAGATTTTGCGAATTATAGAGGAATTAAGTTAGTGATTTATACTTTAGAACTATGAGAGAGTTATGGAGCATAGGTTACGACGTGATACTATGGAAGCTATACATTTATTGAGAGGTTTGATGGAGAAGTATAGAGAGAATCAGGAGGATCTACATATGATATTTGTTGATTTATATAAAGCATACGATAAAGTTCTAAGAGAAGTTCTAAAGAGTTCTAGAAAAGAAAGGGATTAATAATGCTTATATTCAAGTCATTAAGTATATGTATGCAGGAGATATTACTTCTATTCAAACACAAGGTGGTTTGAACAAACATTTTCCTATTTCAATTGGATTACATAAAGGATTAACCTTAAGTAAGAGGATGTACCTTGGTGTATACTTTTTGCTGATGATTGTTGGCTCAAGAAAAATGGCACAAATGCATGAATCCCACTTTGCAGCTGTATGATTCCATTTCTCTTAAATCAGATTGCAATTAATCAAATTTTTCCTAAGGATAGTGTCAATGTTTAATTAGAACTGGGGTCCTTACTTCCCATTAGTGCTTGCACTCATGGTTAATTATCCTTCTTAATATGTAAGAGAGAACTCTCGATTAAAAATGAATAAATTTTAGGTAGTTTAGTCTCAATTGTGAGAAAAATGGAGGTAAACCCGATCAAGATCTCATGGTTCCGTCGTCCTGGGTATACCGTAGGTTTCAGTCTGCCAACACTAACAATTATTGACCGGAGTATCAACGAAATCTGATTAGAAGCCATGAGTTGCCTCCTCTCAGGGATCCCTAGTAGACTGAAGTAGTTAAATGTAATTTTTTAGTTTTAATTTTATTTGGATTTTGAATTTTATATCTATTAGAATACCTAGAAATTAATTTGGTTGACAGGTCTTACGACTTCCTTAGAAGTTGCCTGTAAGTTTAATTCGGAATGGGACTTACAACTCTATTTATGAGTTGCCCAAAAGATTAGTCTTACAACCTAACTCTACAGCAAGGTTGTCCAAAGGTTTTAATTGTTTGGATAGGTCTTATGACTTCCCTTAGGAAGTAGCCTGAAAAGCCGGTCTTATAACTTAATCCTTTAAATTAAGAAGCTTATAGGTTTGAATTGGAATATTTTAGATTTAGGATCATTGCAATTTATTTAGCAATTTTCTTAAAATGTGGGTCTTACGATGCACTAATTCTTGTTTACAGGTACATGGTATTTGCATCGGTTCATGGAGCTCACAGATAGTTGCAGGAGCCACGGTAGAGTGTTGAAAGTTTCAATTTGTATTGTGGGGAGTTTTGTACATGAATTTGTAGAGTTTTGTTTGAGTTGAGAGTTGTGGTTGATTTGATTTAAGTTGTGAGAAGAGCCTTGTACGCTGTGTTGGAATCAATGATGTGAAATGTTGCGTCTATATTAAGTTCTCCAAAGTTCAGAGGCAATACTAAAGATCCCAAGGTTCTTTGCCCTTATTCGTTGAATCCTTATAGAAACACTATGCTTATGTTCAAATATTGGATGTTCAGGGCCAATCCTTTGAGCATTTTAAGGCTTATTAGATTAAAAAAGGAACTTGGATAGATTAAAATTCTATTTATTTCAATGTTGTTACTCTCCGCAGTAACATATGGTGATCAATTATGATCAGCAGTTCTCATGAGCATATCACTATCAATGAAAGTGATTGAAGCAATATTTTGTGTATGAAAAGCTTCTTTCAAGCTTTGCTCAGCAAATAACGCCTCATACTGTTCAGGATTTTGCAAAGCTTTAATAAGTGTTTCCTGAAGGTTCTTAGATATAGGATGTCATAGACACTCAACAGTGAAGGTAATTTGTGGAGATGAAATAATATATTGTAATTAACATTTGCATTGACAGTCTTGGGTTTAAGAGGCTCTTGTGGAATAGCAGCTTTGTTGAGTTGAATGTTTTTCTCTTTATCCTTTATTTTCTTTTGAGGTAGAGGAACTTGCTTTCCGCTTCTCAATTGGATTTGTGTTACCTCTGAAGATGAACTAGCTTCAGCATGAGAGTTCTTTGAAATTTTCATGTCTTCAACTTCCTCGGAATCTGAGCTACTCCCGAGTTTTGAACATTTTTCTTTAAGTATCTTATTACCCTTTTGATCACTTTCTTCATCATGAAAACGTAATTCCTCATCTGAATCAGTGAAAGGTGCTGGTGTATGATGTACTACCTTAAAAGGCATTTCCACATCAACTTTATAAATAGCAAGAGGTGCATTGCGTCCTCTTTTATCTCTTTCACCTTGCTTATTTATGACTCGTCAAGCCTAAATTAAAATACTATATTCCTTTTTTTATTCCGAGCCAAGAAATAAATTAGCCATGTACTCATCTGGCTTGATCGGATGCCATAGAAGTTACTGATATTCACCGATATAATCGATGTGAATCACAAATTTTTGCTTTGTTAATTTCTTCTTCTTTTTTCTGAGATTTTGATCCAGACTTGTGCTTTCCTTTTTGATCTTTGAAATATTTCAAAGATTTCTTTTTTGTATAAGCTAGTTCTCCCCGCAATTGGATTCTTTAAAGAAAAGAGTATTGGATCAACTTCTAATTCTAATGCACTTTTACGATGAATGCCTTCAATTACAAGTAAGACATTCATCAGTTGTTTAATTTTCTTTGAGATAAAGGTCTCCCAACCACCTTCATCTTTCTAGGGTGCTTTTTTTATTCTTATCCTGTGTTTTAACAGGGTACAGTGGAGACAACATTGGTTTTCTCCTTCTTGAGATTGACAAGAACACTATCAGAAATTGTAAGTTCACCGTTCTGATAATTCCTTTTGACCCAATATTTGAATATGAAACAATCTTTCGATTAGGTGACTTATGATCCTATAATACGAATAATAATTCAGATTATCAGTCATGTTAGCGTGTTCTGGTCTGCTGGATTATGACAATTGAAGGTCGATTTTTAGTGCATGCCTAAAAATCTTTTTCGTACATACATTTTAATTTTCTCCTGCAAAGTAAGAGGCCTTTGCCTTTCTCTTATTTGTTTCAGCATCTTTGATGGATTCATTGAATCTTCTTTTTTCTTTCTTATCCAAGAAAGTCATGAATGTAACATTCACCTAACTTCTTTTTGGATCAAAGGTCTTGACCTGTTTTCCTTTCCCTAACGGATTATTGTTATAGTTGAAGCCGACACTTCTAGGCCTGAGTAACCTTTCAAATTTGGCTACACGATCTATTAACTCCTTAAAAGTATTAATTGTAGACATCGCCAGATATGGAGCCATATGGTCATCTATATTCTCCATCAATAGCTAAATAACATGCCTTTCAGTAAGTTGTTGCTCACATTTCATGCTGAGATTTCTCCACCTGGTTATGTATATGATTATGGATTCCTCTCTTTTTATTTTCTCAAAAGCGAGGTTAGCAATAGTCACTTTCTTCGTTGCACTGCAAACTCTTTTAATGAATATCTTCTCTAATTCGACGAATGTTCTTACTGAGACGTTGGGTAACTCAACATGCCACTCAAAAGTTGTATGCCTGTATTTGTTAAACTATTGATAAATTGGCATAGTAACAAAGCATCATTACTGCCCGTATTTCCACAGATAGCTTTGAATTGTGTCAGATGCTGATGAGGATTTGCAGTAGCATCAAATATATTAAACTTTGGCACTGTGTATCCCTTTGGATACTTCTCTTGGTCATATTTCGTTGGATCATTGCAATTTATTTAGCATTTTTCCTAAAATGTGGGTCTTATGACTTCAATTAGAAGTTGCCCGATAGCGGGTCTTACAACCTAATCATATAGACTAGGATGCCCATAGGTTTAAAGTGTATTGTTTAGGTTTTAGGATCATTACAGTTTATTTAACAATTTTCCTAAAATATGAGACTTATTACTTCCTTAGAAGTTGCTCTTTGGCGAGTCTTACAACATAATCCTATAGACTAGGATGCCCATAAATTTGTTAATTGATTGGATTTTTTTTTTGAGTGGACGCTAGTTGTTTGAGAGGTTTAACACTAGTCTCTGGTTTTGATACTTGACAGTGGTTGTTTTCAACCCTAGCTTTTTTAGTAATTTGTTCAATGTTTTTTTTTTTGCTTGTAGCTTTTTCATACAGCAGTAGTTCATTATTTTACTTTAGCACAGTTGTGTTGCTTTTTAAATGCTTCAAATATTTTGTTCTAGATGTAGTAGCAAGATTTATTATTTTATAGCATTGATTTAATTTATTTACGATGCATTGATTCTTATTTGTAGGTACGTGGTACTTGCAGCGGTTTAAGGAGCTCACATATAGTTGCAGGAGTCACTGTAAAGTGTTGAGAGTTTCAATTTATATTGAAGGAAATTTTGTACATAAATTTATAGAGTTTTGTTTGAGTTGAGAGTTGTGGTTGATTTGAGTTTGAGTTGTTTGGAGAGGCTCTGTTTTGGAGAACAGTGTTATATATGTTGATTAGTGGAATTCTTTCCCTTTTCCTTTTTTATTGCATTTTATTTTAAAATTGCTTCAATTGATCAATTAAAATGCTCTCGGATTTTAACTCAAAATTTAAATTGCTTTCATATTTTTAAAACTCTCGGATTTAAAATTGTCATTTAAAATATTTTCGCATTTTAAAACTCTTGTATTTTTAATACTCTTAGATTTAAAATATGCTCTTGGATTTTTTTAAATTAACCAATTAATTTTGAGATGATTTGTTGCAATCCTTACTACTATATTAGCTAGATGAAAAGAGGTGATGTTTTGACAACCAGAGACCTCTAATATTTCAAAGGGGAATAACATTTGAAATGTGAAGAAGATAGGTAATGTTTTGGCAACCAAAGACCTCAAAGGTTTCAAAGGGGCATATCATTTGAAATGCCACAACAATTCAAAGTTTTCCATATAATGTTATTTATGTGGAATTTATTAATGAGAGGTCTTATTTGAAAACATTTGAGGCACCTCAAAATAGTCTTTGAACTGAAAAGATATCCAATAAATTCTAACTGATGCTGAATGACATTTGAGAGAATGATGAGGAGCTGGATAAAAGTAAATGGGAGAAAATGCTCGCCCCTTTAGGTTATGCAAATTTTGGTAGTAGACTCTTAGTAACAACTTAAATGAATTTAATTGCCAATGATGATTGCAAAGGTCATTAAAGAGCCTAGAGATCAAGTGTTTGCAACCACTCAACTCTCATGCATTAGATGGTGTAGAAAACTCTAATGATCATAGAAAAATATTCCAAATAATCAATTATTTTGATTAATTAAGTAAATTAGTTAATTAATATTAAAAAAATCAATTTTAACATTTTAATTGAATTAATGTTCAAATAGATATGCTTTCTAGATTTATGAGGCAATTTTGGTAACATTCTGATGTCCCCTCCCCTCGCGGGGAGGTCGGGACGGCACTTGCCATTGTTTCTTCCCACCCGGACCAAAAGTCGACGACGTGAGATCTTCAATTCAAGTTCACCCCGACTGGATCTAAGATACGATGGCCCGGGGTCTTCAAATTTAAAATCATATACCCAGTTCTAAGATCGATGACGCGGTTCTTCGAAATTTTAATCATCTTAGTCGGATTTAAAATCAACGATACGAGGTCTTCAAAAATAACCTACTCGTTGATCAAATTATATTAAATTTCATTTTAATTACTTATTGTAATCATTTAGCATGCGAACGAATAGTTTTAACTACTATCTTTAAGTTAGCCAAATTATTATGCCTTTTCCTTCAGGTATCCTATAGATTGCTTATAGAATGAATTTCATCTAATTTCACAATAAATTAATCATTTATCATGCACGAGGAAAAAAAACAAAGCATAAAAATGATCCTTAACATCTAGTTTTACAAGAGGCATTTTACCAATCAAAATTATCTAATAGATGCAATGTATCATCATCCACCCATGCAGTTAGTTCAAATCATTTAGAAGCAGCTATACTTTGAAATAAAATCTTCACTTTTGACCTGTAAAAGTAGCCCAAACTAGCCTGGTTATCAACCCTAAACAAAAGTAGTAGGGTTTGAAACTTTACCTTAGGGTATCGATGGCTAAGAAAATAAAGTAGCTGAGCTAGCGCACGACAATTTATAGGCTCCACAATCGATGAAACGTATCCAAGAATTGAAATGCCCGTGTATAACTTTGTGAAATCCTTTGTTCCCTTCAATTCAACTGCTAGTGAATCTAGAAGTCCTCTGCAGAAATCTAGGGTATGGCCCTGCAAAATGGCCAATTATAATATGGCAATTTAGTCTGACCATAGCATATAACAGATTGAATGAAGAAATATTTTATAAGGGCAAGTCAAACGTGAACCCAGGAAATAAAGGCATGAACAAATACAGAGATTAAAATTTATAGGAAGTTTGATAAAAAGGGAAGTAATTAGAATTTTAGATATTGCAAGTCTGAGGGCAAAAAAACTCGCCTGCATTAAGTAGTGGTGCCAGTGATAAGATATGTAGGTTAGCAAAGTTATGTTGTGGTGTCAGCAAGAAGTCATTAAAGAGATATCACCTCTGGTTCACACTAGTCAAACTATGATCATTTGAGCAACTAGTTAATAACTTCATATGTATGTTTGTTTCACAATTATTTAAAGAAGTTGCACAAGTATTCTGCAGATGAGTTTTTATGATAAAATGTTAATTGTTTAAATTCAAATGTTATTTCTCGATTGATATTATATTGGAACTGCAAAGCCAATTTAAATAAAAAAGACATCCTCTATCATCAAAAAATTTGAACAACAAACAATATCACAAAACTTTCAGGCAGCATTAAAACACAAATAAATCAACATGCTAACCTCCATATTAAGGAAGAACTTTCCGCTTAAGAGAATCTCTATAGTCTGCAAAGGTACAAAGTTTTCAAATTAGATAGCAATACACAAATTTACAACATAAGAAAAACAAAAATCAACGCTGAGATGATGTGATGATAAGCCAACATGAATTCATGATGCTTGAAGATATACTAATTGAAATAATTAATTAAAGGATTGAAAAACTTTAAATTAAGTCCTTTGGAAAAGTTTTGCGATGCAAAAAGTAACATTCATCGTGCAATTTTGATAGTTTTCCATCAACTATATTGAAGGAAGCATAATGAAAGGCGTTAGCTTTATGTAAATCTCAAATGTATAAACTTCTTTTTAGAAGTTATACGAATTTGTTTATTTCTTATCACCTTCTGACATAATTTAACTAGTGCATACTTTTAATGATCATTCTCTTGATGCTTAGTCATGGCTTCAAACTTAGCCTGAGCCCCAAATAAGTTTCCTCAAGTTGGATAATCACCAAAGGACCCTCAATATGTGTGGTGAAAGAGTAGATGTACGCCACACATATTGGCGTTGACCAATAATAGTCAAACAAGATTCTTCCCGATCAAATAGGGTCTGATTTGGAAGGGAAAGAGAGATCTATGAAAGCCTAAACTTGAATTTAGACAAGATTTGCAAAAGATAAGGGGATTTCTTTCTATCACCTTAAAGGAAGAGTTTTAGGTTACTCTTGGAAGAGAAATTTAGAAGCATTTTGACAACTTCTAAAGAGGTCTCTAGAGATGTTTGATATCTTTAAAGAGATTTTGATAAGAATAGAAGTATTTTGGCAACTTCTAAAAGAGAACTTCTAGGGATATTTGATATCTCTAGAAAGATTTGGTATGAATAGAAGTATTTTGGCAACTTCTAAAAAGACTTCTAGAGATATTTGACATTTCTAGAAAGGTTTTAATTTGATTATAAGTATTTTGACAATTTCTAAAAGAAGTTTCTAGAGATGTTTGGTATCTCTAGAAAGAATTTGATTTGGGTAGAAGTAATTTGATAACTTCTACAAGAGTTTAGGGATATTTTACCACCTCCTAAAGGTTTGGGGTATTTTGACAACCACCTACAAGTTCAAAGATATTTTGACTATCACTTGAGAAGGGATTAGAGACATTTTGTTCCTCTAAAAGGGTCTTAAGGATATTTTTCTATCTCCTAAAGGTTTAGGGGTATTTTGGCTACCGCCTACAAGATTTTCAAGGATATTATGGCTATCACTTGAAAGGGAATTAGAGACAATTGGTGTCTCTAAAGAGATCTTAGGGATGTGTTGCCATCTTATAAAGAGGGGTATTTTGGCTATCACCTACAAGATTTTCAAGGATATTTTGGCTATCACTTGAAAAGGATTAAGAACATTTGTTATTTTCTAAAGGTTCAAGAGACATTTGACACCTATTGAAAAGTTCTAAAAGGTATTTAAGGCAAAGAGTATTTTGGCTACTACTTAAACCTTAAAGATATTGGTGTAAGCATGTAAGGTCATCTATTTTGGCTAGATAAACCTTAACATTTGGAAAGACTGAAGGGCATTTTGGTAACCACTAAAAAACCATATTTAGGTAGATTTATTGATCTTCAATTTGGGTAGAAGTAGATCTAGAAGGGAGAGCTAGGAGAGAATTTGGAAAGTTTGGATTCTACCTAAACTCAGAAATTGATAAGAATACTCCTATTTGGGGATGTCTACACTTGGTATTTGGTAATAAGATTTGAATATGACTTCTCTTTTGGCGAAAGAGAAGATTTATTTTATTTCATTTGGAGAAAGAAAAGATGAACTTTCTTTTGGAGAAAGATGAATTTTCTTTCCTTTTGGGGAAAAAGAAGATGGACCTTCCTTTTGGGAAAAGATAAGCATGAACTTTCATTCGACGAAAGATGAATTTAGATTTTCCTTTTAGGATAGATGAAAAATTTGACACTTTAGACAAACGTTTTGGTAATCCGAACCCAATCCACAACCGGATCGGAAGAACATTTTTGTTTTCAAGAAATCCAATTTTTAATCTCCCTTGTCTAGCATATAGCATTTTACATTTTCCTCGTTGGTTTGGGCCAACAGAGCCCCAAGAGACTCATTTGATGTTGCGGTGTAGAGAATCAACGACTTCCCTGGAATAGAAGCGGCTAAAACTGGCGGGGATATGAGATAGCGTTTTATACTATCAAAAACTTTTTGACAGCTATCATCCTAGTAGAATTAAGAATCCTTGTTTGAAAGGGCTGCAAAGGGTTAGCATCCACTAGACAAATTAGATATGAAATGTCTTAAATATGTCAACCTACCTTGAAAAGATCTTAGTTGAGTAAGATTCTTAGGGGGTTTCATTTCTAATATCGTCTTGATTTTAGTAGGGTCAATTTCAATGCCACGGTGTCGAACAACAAATTCAAGGAATTTCCCTGAAGTCACCCCAAAGGCACACTTCAAAGGACTCATCTTGAGGTCGTACCAACGAAGCCATTCAAATACAACCCTTAAGTCATACGGGTGCTCCTCTTTTTCTTTACTTTTGACCACGAGATCATCAATGTAACATTCAACTTTGTCATGAATGAGCTCATTAAATACTTGGGTCATTGCACGCTGGTAAGTTACACCATTATTTTTTAGGCCAAAAGGTATGACCTTATAACAACATATTCCAATGGGTGTTCTAAAAGCAGTATATTACTAGTCCTCTAGGGCCATTTTAATTTGGTTGTATCACAACGATCCATCCATAAAGAAAACAAGACCAAGAGAAGAAGCAATGTCAATCATGAGTTCAAGTATGGATAATGGGAACTCATCTTTAGGACATGCTGTTTACGTGTCTTTCATGTCGACACAACCAAGATCGAGTCGATATGAACCCGATTAGGTTCAATTGCGCTCGATCAACTCAAATGATCATCATCGTAGCAAAATTCACTCAAATAAGACTTCAATTTAATAAAATTAAATTCAATTTCATCAAATTAATTGAAATTGACCTAAATCGATTGAATAAACCCAAAATTGGTTCAAATCGAACACGATCAAGCCTCGTTGAACCAATTTGACTCAATTCGACACCGATTCAAGTTTAATTTCACAAAACTGACTTAATTGGACCAAAATCAACCCAAAACGATTCGGGTCGAGTCCAATTCAAGCTCAATCTCAGCCTAATTGACCTATCTAAATCAGGTCCTGCATCCAACGACTCAAATTTATCCATATTTTCAAACTTTGCAGTCGTTTTCCCGTCAAATCCCTTATCTTGTCGCAAAGAAATCTCTATCTTGTGCATAATCACTCGAGTAGGCATGGGCATCCACTTCGTGCATGGACAGGATTAATTTATTCCATTCGGCCTCTCCGCAGTGGTCCGTCCCATATACAGAGCGAGAGAGGGAGAAGGCGGGCAATTTTTCTACTTGCGGTTCGTGCTTCTCGGACCAAGAGAGAGCGAGAGATAGAAGTCAAAAGCGGAAGGGCTCCATTGGTTTTATGCGTCCGACCCCATCTTCCGACGCCTCTGAGGCGTCCGTCTTCCTTGCCGTTGAGTCCTCTAGGCATCGGGTCCTCCAATCCGCCAACACCTCTAGTCACTAGCCTTCCTAGCCGCTGATCTCTTCAGGTTACTGACTCTCCAAGCTAGTGATCATCTCAGCCGTCTTCTTTTCTTACAATGTGGGAGTTTTTTTTTTCATTAAGATTAGGTCTATGAAGGGTGTACGACATTTTGACAAGACTAGCAAGCTTAGTCCCCCTTACATTGGTCCTTTTGAGATTGTGGAAATGATTGGAAACATAGCTTACAAATTGGCCTTGCTAGCTAATATGTATTTTGTACACAATGTGTTTCATATTTCTTTCCTAAGAAAATTTATATTAGATGATCCTTCTAAGATCATAACAGAACCTGTGGACATACAACCAGATCTTAATGTGAAGCAACTCCGAAGCAAAGACATATTTTGTCAATATTCTATGGATGCATGGGTATGAGAAGGACGCTACATGGGAGAAAGAATCAGAAATAAGTGTTATCCTCATCTCTTTGATTAAGGTATACTTTATCCCTCTTGTTTTAATTTCGAAGACGAAATTTTTATTATGAAAGGAGAATTGTAAAACCCGAAAATCGCGAAAAAACCGAATAGTCACGTCGGCGCATTTTCGAAGTTGTCGGAATTTAACACAATCAATTTTATAAAATTCTACGCTAAATTTCAAGCGATTTGGTATAAAGAACTTATAATTAATTTTACACGGATTTAAAATTAAAAATCAACAAAGATTAGTTAAGGGTAAACTACTTAATAGCCCTCTTAACTCTTAAAAGGATTTATGAAAGTGAGGACACATGCGTCAATTTCCATTTCCCTCTTCTCCCACCGCCCAAATAAGCTCGTCCCTTCATTTTGTTCGTTTGGCCGAATGCAAGAGGGAGACGGGCAAGGGTAGAGGCGGCGGGAGCAAGGCGGCAACGATGGTTTTCGGTGACGATTCTTCGGGAAAATCAAAGGAAAAGCCTAAGGAAGAAGAGCGTAAGTTTCCAAAACAAAAATCTCTTCGTTTTCACTTAAATTTCTTGAATGAAAACTTAGGGTTTTTCCAATCTTGGAACTTTTAAGAGGAAAAGCATGTAGGAACACTTAATGGTAACTCCTTAATCCTAATTCTACTTTTCTTTCACAATTTTTGAGATTTCCAAAATTATGGTTTCTCCAAAAATTTAAGTCTTTGAAAGCGCTTTCACAAATATCATTCCTAATAGCCTTAGGAATGTTTATTTTAGTGTAAAATTAGGGTTTAGTGAAATTTATCATTTTTCCTAAATTTTTATTAAAGGAAATCCGAAAATTTTTATGCTAATTATTAATTAGGTTAAGGTAAATATTTTAACATGCAAATATAAGGAAAATAGGGAAAAATAAGGTTTCCGATTTTAGGGCTTTAGGGTAAAATTGAAAATCAAAATCATTTTTAATTTAGATATGTAATTTGAATGAATTAGGAAGGGTAAAATGTGGGAATTTACCATAAATTTTTAAAATTTAAGATATAATTAAATCCGAAAATAATTACCTTATAATGACGATTATAATAAAGGAAAATATTAAAGTGAATTAAGAATTTATATTAATGAAAATAACAATTGAAAAAACATTATAATGACATTCATGTATGTCTTAATGCTAATGACAATTAAGAATTAGGATTAATGTTAAACTACATGCTTTGTCTTTTAATGAACATGATTTAAGGTTCATATGGGATGATCAAGTTACACTATTTATAGGATTTGGAAGTAGGAGAGGAAAGGAATTGAAAGGAAAATGATAAATTTAACACGTCTAGGGCTGCAAGCGAACCAAACGTTCGATGAGCTACACGTTGTTCGGTTCGATTAAAGCTCGTTTGTGATCGTTTAATTAACTAAACAAACAAACTTGAACAATATTTTAAATACTCGATTCTTAAATAAACAAACTTGAACACTAATATGTTCAGCTCATTTATGTTTGCGAACAACATCATTTGAAGTTCGTGAACAAGCTGGACATTAAGCTCGATAAGAAGCTCGATTTGTGTTCGATTTTGAACTCGTGAATAAGCTCAATAAAAATAATTAATATTTGACTATAGAATTAATAAATATAAATAATCATTGCCTTTGTTACATAGACTATTGCTTTTATTATAAATGTGTTTGTTCATAGATATGTTCATGAACGTGTTTGTTTGATAGTTAAAAAAAATTAATAAATGAAATGCAGATGATGTGGCGTCTAAATTTCTTTGTGATATTTTGTTGCATCGTCCTCAACAATGATTACATGCTATATTATATCTGCCCAATGCATACGCTCTTCACAGTCATGGTATACGTGACGCTTGGTATCTTCAACAAATACAATGAGATTGGGTCAGTGATGGCTGTGAAGATCATGTCCTGTTTTTTGGTGGTGTTCTTGATTTGGGAAGTTCCTGGGGTTTTTTATCTTCTTTGGAGCCCCTTCACCTTCTTTTTAGGTTGGTTTCTCAGATCCTACATACTACAGAGCCCTCTTTTGTTTTTGATAATCTCACACAAGTGACAGTTGTGCTTTCCGGTTGCAGGGTATAAAGATCCAGAGCCTTCTAAGGCGAACCTCCCTCTTTTGCATGAGTGGCATTTCAGATCCGGACTTGATCGCTACATCTGGATCATAGGAATGATATATGCTTACTACCATCCAAATGTGAGTTTTTTTAGCATCATTTGTTGATTGATTTATTATGTTCCCATTCCAAGCTATTTACTATCCCACTGTTTCTTTCTTGGAGCGTTGGATTTGTGATTATGTGAGGTTTCTTAGGTATTTCAATCCTCTTCCATATCAGGTTGAAAGATGGATGGAAAAAGTTGAAGAAGCTGAAGCCAAACTCAGGTTCTCAATTAAAACATGTATAATTGCAGTTAGTTTGATGGTAGGCCCTACGATTCACTTTGTTAAGATCAAGTCTCTATCTTTTTATAATTAAGTACATGACTAATGAATCCTATTTTGTTAGGTTGGTTTTTTGTGGTACGAGTACATTTACAAACTAGATAAAGTTAGTTACAATAAGTATCATCCCTATACGTCATGGATCCCAATCACGTAAGTACAGAGTTTATTCAAGAAAAAATGTCCCTTTAATTCAAATTGGTACTGTTTCTCAACTAATACCTCCTTTTATTATGTTTTTTAGTGTTTATATTTGCTTGCGAAATGCAACCCAGCAGTTGCGAAATTATTCCTTGACTCTTTTTGCGTAAGCCAAATCTTCTGGACAATTATTGCCATTTTTCTTGAGTTTTCATTTTATATCAATATGCAATCATCCTTGTTTCATTATTTTATTTCTACTGCTTAGGTGGCTTGGCAAGATCACGCTTGAGACATATATCTCTCAGATCCATATTTGGCTTCGGTGAGAATGGAGTTTGACATTTATAAAATGTTTTTTTTTTCTTTTTATCTAATTCTAATCAAATAGCTTCTTTAACTAACGTGTTTTCTCTAATAAAATAAACAACTGAGTCATCGTATCATTTTTTGGTTATAAGCAAACAATGAATATATGAGTTTGGTTTTCTTTAGGAATAATTTTTGTCTTCTATTCTGATATAAATTGTGTTAGAACTGATTTGATCATTTATTTTAAAATTAATGCAATTTAAAATTTTCATATACAACACTATTCTTCATACAACAACAACAACATCAAGCCTTTATCCCACTACGTGGGGTCGGCTACATGAATCCTTTTTCTCCATTGTGTCCTATTAAAAGTCAAATTCTCGTTTAAATCTAATAAAGAAAGGTCATTCCTAATATTTTCTAACCAAGTCTTTTTAGGTCTACCCCTACCTTTCTTAATATAAGTCAAATCTAATACCTCTACTCTCTTAACTGGGTCGTCGGAAGGCCGCCTTTTTATGTGACCAAACCATCTAAGGCGACTCTCTCTAATCTTATCTTCTACTGGAGCTACTCCAACCTTTTCACGTATATGCTCATTTCGTATCTTATCTCTAAGGGTAAAGCCACTCATCCACCTGAGCATCCTCATCTCTGTCACACTTAACTTAGTATTATGCTTCTCTTTTAATGGCCAACATTCGGCACCATAAAGCATTGCAGGCCTCACTACCATCTTATAGAATTTTCCCTTAAGTTTGAGGGGTACATTTCTATCACATAACAAGCCCGATGCATTCCTCCACTTCAACCATCCAACTTGAATTCTGCTGATAATATCCTCATCTATTTCACCATCACTCTGAACAATAGATCCAAGATATCTAAAACGTGTACTCTTATTAATGACTTGATCGTCCAAAGTCACAATCCCCTCCCTAGGTCTATTACTACTAAAATTACACTCCATATATTCCGTTTTAGATCTACTCAAGCGAAAACCTTTAGACTCTAAGATTGACCTCCATAATTCAAGTTTACCTTCAACTCCCTCTCTAGTCTTATCAACAAGAAGAATATCATCAGCAAAAAGCATACACCAAGGTACATCCTCTTGCAAATGTCTAGTAAGAACATCCATGACTAAAGCAAAAAGATATGGGCTTAAGGCTGATCCTTGATGTAACCCAACCGAAATAGGGAAATACTTGGTCAATCCACCTTGTGTTTGAACACAAGTAATAGCTCCTGCATACATATCTTTAATGATTTGAATATAAGCTTAACTGACTCCTTTCTTTTCAAGAACTCTCCATAGCACTTCTCTTGGAACTTTATCATCTGCTTTTTCTAAATCAATAAATATCATATGTAGATCCTCCTTATTTTCTCTATATTTCTCCATCAAACCTCTTAATAAATGTATGGCTTCCATAGTCGACCTACCCGGCATGAATCCAAATTGATTTTGAGAAACATTAGTATCACGCCGCAACCTATGCTCCTCCCATAGTTTTAAAGTATGACATATTAACTTAATACCTCTATAATTCGCACAATCTTGTGCATCACCTTTATACGGGTGTAGAAAAAACAAATAAGATAAATGTATATGTGTATAGGAAATAAAGACATGTTGAAAAGCATGAAATGAAAGAAGTGTTAAACTTATGAAATGTAAAATGATCATAGGAATTCATAAAGAGATAGGTGCACAGTTATCTTTGCATGACATTATATTCTTTACTTCTTTAGTTATTTGTTGCTCAGTCTCATATTAAAGCATGCATATTGATCTTCTTTATATTGTAATCGAGTTTGATAGAATTACTTGTTACCTGCTAAGTGTTAGCATACTCCCTAGCTTTGGGATGTTTTCAGGAGAACCACTGTTTAAGGATGGCATATAGACAACAGTATACCTATCAGCGTAGGGTTACCACGGGAGACATGTTCTTTTATTGAATGTACTTTTGATGTTCTTTTTGTTGTGGATCTCGCATGTCTAGTTATGATCCACATGTGTAAATTTCTTATGATATAATAAAATGTTTGAGTTGTGGAAGTTTTAGTGGCTCTTTATAATTGAATTGGATGTTAGATATGTTAATATTTACGTGATGATATCTGAATTATGTTTTTTAATTTCGTCTGACATCCGTTCCTGCCTCGTTTACTCGAGCTTACCGGGTCGTGATAGGGTTAACGAGCATGGTGTGCGGGTAGGTGGCTAAAAATTAATGTTTTGAAAATAATGAAAACACGTAAAAGTTGTTTTGGATATTTTAAAAGCAACATGATCTGATATTCACTAAACACTAACCAAAAATGCTGTTTTCCTGAATTTATAAGAACAAAAAATTAAATAAGTAATGCTAAGCAGGTCCTTAGATATGGTATTCCAAGGAAAACACAATTAAAGAAAAAACTTTGCCACTCAAGCCAACCTCGAGGCAAGTCAATAGATTATTTTAGCAGCTAGTTCTGATATTCAAAAAGAGAATCCAATTTTTAATCATGATGTCAATCAATATATAGCAAGGATAGTGGGTGTATTGCAATAAGTTCAGTACCTTCATAGTTGGCATAATAACTCTGTTGCATTTCTTATAGTTCTGAAGGACCCAAAGAAGATCAGTACTCAACATAAATTCTCTGTTGTTCGTCATTTGACTTGTATCACCTTTAGAAACCTCAATAAATTCCAATAGAGCATCTTTTGAAGCCTTACTTAAGAACTCTTGCAATCCACCCACAGAGATGACATATCCTGATAGCACAGACCTGCTATAACAGCTAAACTGAAGTAGCTGAACAAATCGTGGGTAGGACACTGTAGGATCCTGTTTATCACAAAATGGTTAGGTGCTTTCTTAAATCAGATTGGTGATAGATGATTTTAGCTAATAAATACCAACCAAATAAGAGGAATCAGAAATGCTCAATGAAGTGAGAAGGATTGCAAGAAGAAATAATAAGCATCGCATTTCCTGCTCACAATATCTTAGATGTATAAAGAATGGTACATTAAAAAACATCATTGATCATAATTTTGGATCTATGATCAACATATTGATTGGACTTATCATACAAAAGTTTGTTAGGTGTCATACATGAAAAAGTTGGAGTAGCTCTAGCGGCAAATAAGATGAGAGAGAGTCACATTAAATGATTTGGTCACATAAAATATTTGCCTTCCGATAACCCGTTTAGGAGAGTAGATGCATGAACCCTACCTATGTAAAGAAAAGGTAAAGATAGATCTAAAAAAACTTAGTCAAAAATGTTCACTCATAAAAAATGATGCATGAACCCTACCTTTTGGGTTAAGGTTCCATGCTTCATGAGATAGATTAATTTTTAACTAACCAGATTTTCCTCAATGTTTATGTTAGGATTTATTTAGATCTTGGGTCTCAACTTCCTATGAGCACAAATCTTCATATTTAATTCCCCCTCTCACTCGTGGGAGAGCACCCTCGATTAAAGATGGGTTACTCTGACATAGTTTTAAATTTAAGCTTCGTACTCTAAGATTTGTTCGGATTAATGGGAAATGTTTGTATGAGATGGATATAAATATGATCAAGATCCTATAATTCTGCCATCCCTGGAATACCAATGATCTCAGTCTACTAACATTAACGACCCAAAGGCCGTAACATCCAAGGAATCTGATCAGCACCTATGGGCTGCCCTCTCCCCGGGATTCTTAGTAGATCAAAGTGATTATGTATAGATTTTAACTTGTTATAATTTTAGGGTTTAATTAATTTAACGAGCTTGTTAGCATAGAACCTGGCCGAATGTGATTTATGTTTTGCGCTTATATCCATTCATAATTTAATTTAAATAGGGCTTACATCAATTGGAATACTCTAATTTAATTGATTTAGGGCTTATATACATTGGAATGCCCAGATTTAAGTAGAATGTGGCTTATATCCATGGGAAAGCCCGAGTGTTCTAATTAGGCTAGGGCTTACCACTCTATTTAAGAGTTGCCTGAATTTAATTGATTTGAGGATTATATAATTTTAGGATGAGACTTATTACTCTATTTAGGAGTTTCCTGAATTATATATATATATATATATATAATTTCAATACAGGACTTATATCCATGTGTTTGCCTAATTTATGAATGACTTGCTTTGCATAATCATTTCAAACTTTAATAATAATGTTTAACTTAAATTGTTTTGAGTTTATCATTTTTTAATTTTTGAACAATCTAGCACTAATATAGTTCTAGATTTAAAAGTTTTTGTTTATTAGTAGAGGATACATACCTTATATTATGGGTAAGATGACCCGATCAACAACATTTTATAAGGACACTTGGATCGACTAGGAGCTAGCGAGTTTAAACTCAAGTTCTCGACTAATTGACACTTGGTCCCAAAGAGTTAGTTTAACCATTGAACTCCAAAAAAAAATTTTTGAGCCAAGTCGGACTACTCTTCCAATCTCTATTGTTATCTCTAGTCTTACCTACATGAACCCATAGACCTTGACGATTATCTCAAGCTGTTTAATGATTGAATGGTGATGATTCTACCCAAGTTATAAAGTAGTTGTTTAATTCACATGGCTATGCAAGAAAGGTTTATAGTGCAATCTTGGATGCTAGCCTATAATCAATTGACTGATTATGCTGATAGGTAAAAAGTGATAACTCTTTATTGATTTATTGAAGTGACCTGTTAAAATAAATGATTAATAGAGATAATTGAAATATGTGATTGACAGATAATGATTGATTGATATGACAACTGGAATGATGAAAACATCACTTTAAAGTTGGATGTCCTGTCTTAATCGTAACCATGTTTGCATTGACATTATAGTATATACATAGGACTGATAGAAGCATTGAGACTCATATAGCATGACATAGCATATGACATATATATTATTAGCCATTGATAGTTGTTCAAATATAATGCATTGATAAACATATTGACATATGATATAATATATTGATAGATAAATATGCATGACATGATGATTGAGAAAATCATATAATAGACCATCAACATGAATATAACTGACATATAATCGATATTTGTTTTACTGTATAGCACTTGTTATTAATTTATGAACTTTTTATTGATTTTATTATGTATTGATAGACTCCTTTTGCTTATTGAGATACTCTGCTTTTATTGATCATATTGGCTGCTTGTGATTGATATTAATTGCATAGATTATTTATTGTATAATAATACATATTGATTAAGACTAAGCATACAAATTGATTATTTTGTCTTGCATATAGTGCGGTGGTAAGTTTTGGTTGTTTGTTGGACTATATACACGATCTGTCATTTTTATTGATTTTAGGTCTAGAAATAGGCCAGGGCTCTTTGGAGCGAGTGATCAATGTTTCAAGATTTTATTTTATTTTTGTATTTTAATTACTCTTTTGTAGTCAGGAGCTTTAAAAGGATAGATTGATGATTGATGTGATCTCCTGACTTTTGTAAATCGATTTTTTAGAGAATGGATATAAAAATATTTTGATGTACATGGTTTATAATTATTTTCGTTGGATTTATTTATATTGATAAATATATAGACTATGACAAATTAATTAAGAGACAAAACAGATAATTCTTTCAAATTTAGATCTTGGACTGTTACATAAATTCCCTTCTTTTTTTTCTACTGAAATGATGGGAAGTTATTTAAGGAGGAAGTGGAAGATGGTTAATGTGTTGAGGAGGAGATGGATTAGTGGTGGGGGAGGGAAGTGGAAACATGGAGTAGAGGGAGTTCAGAAGAAAGTGGGTTTATGGATATTTGGCATTGCACAAATTTCATCTAGCAATATATATATATATATATATATATATATATATACAGCTAAAGAAGCAATAGTCTAAAAACCACATAACATTAAAACCCTAAGAGAATCCAACTACAATAAACAGATTACATGCAGCAAATACATGCCAGAGCATAAATACGGGATCTGCGGTAGAAAAGGCAAAGAAGCAAGTCTAGAGAAACCACATAACATTAAAATCTAGAAATTCAAATAATATATTGAAGCAAAGTATTAGGGCATGTGTTGAATATGAAATAAAAACAGCTGAACCAGGAAATCTGAAGAGAGTTGCATCGACACAACATGAAACAATAAAATAAATCCAGCCTAAGTAATCCAACTACCAGAGAACACATCCCACTCTCATATGGATGTAGAGGTACGAACTAAAAGTTGCCTTTTTAGGCACAGGTGGCCAGATTTTATCATGTTAAGGATACATGATGCAAAAGACAACGCAAAATTACTACTGAAGATGACTCATTAAGAAAAAGTTATGATGATTAAGCCGAATAGGCGCATTTTACAAGGCTAAAACTCATGCATTCAAGCAGCGTTTCTATAGCAGGAAAGGTACAGTTTAATAGTCATTATGATGAAAAAAAAAGAAGTAAACTTGAAGAGTTAAAATATGATAGACCATGAACTCACCTCCCATTTCAAGTCTGTATCAAGAGGAATAATTTCTTGTAATGTTTCCCTGTAAGGTATGTATGGAACAAAATGCTGAGGGTAATGTATTATCCTTTGGAGAATCCTAGCAGCTATACCTCTTATTTTGTCCATCTTCTCAACAGCCTGCTTTGCTATGCCTTTTATTAACTCGGTAGCAATTGTTTCATCAAACAAGGTAGATAACTGATTCGATGCCATTAAATTGTCATACTTGCATAGGATGTAGGTGCACCTCTCAAGTGCATCCATGGCAGCATCTCGAACCCAGGAACCCACATCTCCTCTGTTGTCGATTGCATAGTCATCAAGAGCATCAAAAAGGGTCCTCATCACGTCATTCTTGATAAAAGAATGAATAGAATTTTCTTCAGAACTACTATTACTAGAACCCCTGGTTAGTGTTTCGCACACAGAAACAAGCCCTCTTACAGCATTCACACGTGCCTCCGCATCTGGATCATCAGGCTTATTCTGTATTTTGAAAAGGGAATCACTAACCCAGAGATAACAGGATTTACCAAGAGAGAAAAGAAAATTCAACAAGGATACACATGGTACAAATCAGGTTCTCTGAATACCTGAAGCAGACAAGATTTGCATAGTTTTCTCAAGATTTCTCTCCACCGGGTACATAGGAATTCATAAGGTAATATACCAAAACCCAATGCGGCCCCTCTTCTTGCTGCGACATTAGGGTCATCTAGAAGTTCCATGTACTTCGAAATGATCCCATTGGGGACCTTTTCGTCAAAAGAAAGAAGATAACCTTGAACAAAGTGCCTTAGTGCATCAACAGCAGAGCACTGGACATCAAATTCTAATTAATCACAACTAATGTAAAAGCCAACTAATAATGAAGGAAAAAAGATTGGAGAACATAAAATAATGCAACAAGTAATGATGAATAGTATCATTGCTCATAAGTGATTGATATGAACTTCAATAAAGAGGAAAACACCTGTATCTGTGCATTGGGGTGCTTTAAATTGTCAGTCAAAGTATCAAGTAAAATCTTCCTTGTTTTATCATTTAAGGATATTGCTGAACGAGAGATACAATCAATGAACCTAGAGACAGCAGAACGCATTATCTCTCCTCCCTTTCCTCGATAAAGGCGAGCTTTTTCAATAGCAGGAACAATACCTGCTAGCTTTTGCTGCTTTTCTGTTAGGATGAGAAGGCAAAGTTTGCATCAGTAGATGCCATGGCCACGAAAAACAATTTCAATTAAAACTAAACAGATACAGTAAAATCTATAAGTATATTATATATTAATCAAATTTTCATTAAAGAAAAGAGAAAGGACCAAAATAGTCCCCAATTCTTTCGAGGAACTAATTTCACCCTTCAATTCTTTAAAATAAGATTTTTTTTTTTTTTTGTCCTAACATCTAATGTTGAAGTTAATGGTTTTAAATGTAAATGTATTTTGGTCATTTTTTAATTACATATTTATTAAATGTAATTTTCAAGTAAATCCATTTTTTCTGAACAAAGTTATTAAAAGTTTCTTTAATTAAAAAAAAATAGTTTTAATTTAAAAAATTTTAGTCATAATTTATAAAATATGATTGATAAAAATATGTGTGACTAAAATGAAAATAATATCTATTTGCATTTGATTTCTCTAAATCAATAAATATCATATTTGATAAAAATGTGACTAAAATTCTTGAAATTAAAACTAAAATTATTATTATTTTAATTTATTAAAGAAACGTTTAATATTTTTTTTAGAAAAATTAAAATTACTTAAAAATTATATTTAATTAAAAAAGAACCAAAATACCCTTACATTTAACAACATTAACTCCGACATTGGATGTTATGATCAAAAAGGTTTCATTTTAAAAAGTTGAGGCGCCAGATTGATCCCTCAAAAGAGTTGGAGACTATTTTGATCCCTCACAAAAATTTGAGAGACCATTTTGATCATTTTCTCTTAAAGAAAATTACTAAGCATAACAATGCTATTTATGGCAACAAGTCAGAAGCTCTTGGCTAACTGCATACTAACCCGTATGAAAAAAGAAGTTACATTCATGCAGAGCCAAGACTAGTTCTCCAACAGCTAACGTTGCACCATGGCGCGTGCAGAGATCCACAGAGAGAGTCAAGGGAATCAATTTCCCAAGGACAGGTCCCGCAAAATAGTCAGGGTCATATTTTGCAAGAGCAGAAATAGCCTGTGCAGCTAATTCTCTCAGGCTTCTATCCTGAAACATGAATAAACATGAATTTGAAAACTATTATAGGTACCAAAAAAAGCTCTAACCGCAGGGGAATATTTCAGCATCACTAGTAATTTTATTGGCAAATACAAAAAATTTCAGAAAAAATGCAATTAAGAAAATCTGTAAAAATTAGAAAGTTGAATCCCCTTCTAGTTAATGGTTATAATCTAATCATAAGCACACATGCCCCAAGGTAGTGGCATGCAAAGATGCACATAAAATTCAAGAGAAGGCATCGAAGCAGTGCATATTTAGCATATTACACGGGCTAGCTGGAAATAATTGGAATAGTTGCAGGAAAAGGAAACTAAGTGTGAATAAAGGCAATGGTCTGTTCAAAATATACTTCAGCAATTTCAAAGCATAAGAGAAAGAGATGGCTAAAACCATATGAGAATCAGTCCAAGCAAAAACGGATATCCTAATTTCATTATGAGAAAATTTGGTATAAATCATTTGGTTAGCTTGTATATTAATCGTGTGTATCAATATATGGTCAAAGACAAACTATATGAGACCACTGATTATGTGTCACCGATGAGCTAATTAAACGTATGCAGGGTTAACATAATTGTGGAACCATTAAACAATGCAGAAAAAACAGAAAAACTAATGGAATAAAGTATAGTCAACCTTCAAGTCTAGTTATTGCTCAAAATAGAAGCACAAAGGAACCTGACTCATGTCTAAAGAGCATAAAACAAAAAACTAGAGGGAAGTGACACCCAATCAGACAATCTTTAAAGAACAAATGCAAATTGGCATCTGACATATCTTGGAACAGAACTCCATATCCCAAAACTAAGAAAATATCCTGTTCATGTGTTTTGTTTGTTGTCTCTTTTGTTTTAACCCAAAAATTCAAACTCTTTAGTATTCATCAGATTCTTTCAAAATTTACAATGAGGGAACTTGTAGACTTGAGTGTTCTTTCAGTGGATGTTTTTCTTCAATTTAAGGAATGACAGAACACTGACTATAGTATTGAACTTAATGCAAGGAATGGGAGTAGAATGATACAAATTACAATTAAAAATAAGACGATAATCTACAAAAGAAATATATAGAGAAATTCTTTAATTAAATTAATATTTTAAATTCATAATGTACCTAAAAGTTTTAGAATGATTTTAATATGCTAAGAAACTTTTCAAACCACCACAGCCGATTGAAAGCAAGAAGATAAAGCTTTTGCTTTTGAGAACAACTAGTATGAGTGTTTAGCTGTATGTTTCATTTATATGGTAACTCGAGACAAGAATTAAGAAAAATACCCAATGTGATATTTTGTAGCTTAGCAACTCTTCAACAAAAGGACATAGATATTCCTCATATTTTGCAATGCTGACAGCAATATTAAGGTAAGAATTTGTTCGGGAAGCAAGAGAAAAATAGTCTGCTGAGCTGACAATGTCTATGCCATGAGGAAAGTCTCCCTGTCTCCCAATATTTTCTTGGAAAGCAGCTGAAGCTGCTCTTCTACAGTTAACCTAAGATCCATTGTAAAGGAAAATTAGCTATATATGCTTGTAAACAAGCATATGATAAGAACTGAAAGAATAATGCTCGAGCATTCAATAAGAGAAAAACACAACTCCTGCTGATGACATGGGAAAAAATACTCACCTCTCGGTCATAGCAAGCAACTGTTAGAAGATGTGGGGCAAGCTGCTCTAGAATACCCTTCATATCTGAGTAGTTGTATGCCCGACCAAATGCCCAGCAAACATATGCAGCAGCATCACGTACGTGTGAACCAATGCTGTGTGGGCCTCTTCTGATATCATAATGCAATGCCTGAAGAGAAGTATCTATTTATCAAGTTGAGAATTGAAAAACATACAGATGTCCGATTTTCATTTATGAAAGAAATATGATATGCTTGTAAGTTGTTAAAAGAATAAGAAAAACAAGTGAATTTCAAAAAACACGCATTCATGATTGCAATCAATATAAAAAATCTTATCATGTTTTGATGCAAGTCATTAAAGTTGCTGGCACAAAATAACAAATGAGGGGAGGATAAGTACACCCAAAGACTGAAACCACAACATGAACGGAACCATGAATTAAAAGAGGTCTCCAATACAGTACATTGAGGGGCTGTAGTCAATTTTCGAACAAAAGTGCAGGCTTCACGCACCATTTCTTAGTTTTGGCAGAAGCCTTCCAGTTCATGTGAAGCTGGGTTTGTTAATGTTCTTTCCCCATATTTTGAACAACTTGTACCCCACCCTCACAATCATATAAATATGTTGCGTGTTTTTTACCAATCAACATTCACGCTATAGTGTTGCCCGAGAAATAGATATTAATCAGTATATCTACAGAGCATATAGTATATATCCCCCTTGTACAGTGGATAAACTAGCATTGCTTAAAGATGCAAGGTATTTAGACGTTAAGTTTCACCAAATGCATAGCTCATACGACCATACTTAATAAATCTGACGTTCATCAGGTATATCACTTCAATGTTGCTAGCATGGATGCATTTCGTATTTACTGTTGCATGTAGATCGTGCATATATACTCAGAGAACATGAACATGTGCACATGGGATGAGTCAGTGTCACAAAGCACCAAGTTTATGCTACATGGAAGTGAATTAGTAAAACATTAAAATAAATAATAGGTTTTCCATGTGTTACAAAATAATAAAAAGCCATCCTATAAATGTGATATACCAAATCCCCTCAGTTCAATTTGAGCATCTATTGCAAGCATCTTCATGACCAATACAAAAAATGTGTAATTAAAAATGATCATTAATATAATTCTATTGTGATCGGGAGCTCATTGATTGCTCCACAACTATTTCTATTATTGGTATTACAAAATAATGGAATTATCTTATATATAAAATAATAACTTTAACATATCTTTTCTAGATTCATTCCTCTTCAATAACAACAAATCAATTTCGTGATACTTTATTATAGTAAGAGTCAATGTTTAAAATTGCGTATTCGGGTATTGGGGGGTTTTTCATTCGTGAGGCGAGGCGTAAGCCTCAAGGCGTTTTAAGGCGTAAGCCTCAAAATCAAAAGATTGCGTAAACATAAAATGATACATTTTTTATATACTAATGAGTGAATAATATAAAACATAAAAAAAGCGTAAGATATGAAGTGAAATCAAAATATCTCAATAATAAGACAACATGAAATATAGTTCAACTCAAAATTCTATCTTCCCCAAATCCTAGTATTCTTTTCATTAACATATAATTCGAATTTCCAAAAACAAATAGCAATGACATATCACATAAGAACTCATAAGTCATCAACACTGTCATCACTAAGAGGTTTTTCATTTGAATAATCATTATGATGAATTGCTCTCTCCCCTTCCTCCTCTCCTATAGAATCCATTGTTGGGCAGTTACTTCAAGATTTATGTAAGTTTTAATATACATAACATGAGGCGTAAGCCTCATGCCAGTGAGGCGAGGCGGGCCTCAAGACAGGCCTCAACCAAGTTGAGGCGCAAGCCTCATTAAAAAAACTCAAGGCGTAAGAATCGAGACGTTTTTTATTGGAATTGCGCAAAGGCGAGCCTCATATTGCGCAATTTTGGAAGTGGAGAAATCAGCTTGGGAGGTGAAAAGGTGGAGTTGGTTGCTTGGAAAAGAGAGAGGATAGATGTGGTTTGCTTGGGAAGGGAAGTATTTGGCTTGCGAAAAGGAAAAGTTAAAGTGGTTGCTTTGGGAAGAGAGAGAATTTAATGTAGCTTGCTTGGGAAGGGAAGTATTTGGCTTGGGAAAAAGAAAAGTTAAAATGGTTGTTTTGGGAAAAGAGAGAATTAAATATAGCTTGCATGGGAAGGGAAATAGTTGGCTTGAGAAAAAAAAAAGTTAAAGTGGTTGCTTTGGGAAAAGAGAAAAGTTAAAGTTGTTATGGGTTCCCAAAGATCACAACTAATTGAGACAAATGCTCAATTATTGTGAATTAATTACAAGATCGGGAAGCCCAAGGGTCTAGGGTGTTGGGGAGAAAGTGAAGGCGGGTAGAATTAAAGGAAGAGAGGAGGTGGTGGGTTGAGGGCAGTAGGTTGTTGCAGCGGTGGGGATTATTGGACGGCTAGGGAAGGAGAAGAAGAGATAGAGAGGGAGATGATATCAACCAAGAGCTCACAAGCTGTTGGGTATTTCTTTGCCTTTCTCCAAAGGACTTCACACACAAACTCAACTTACCAAGAGAAGAGGAAACATATAACAAAAAATTTTATCAAATATTCATCATCTTTACAAGAAAACAATGGGCCATATATATAGGCACCAATAACATGAAAGAAACAAAAGACTAGAAGGCCCTTGGCCAAACAACACAAAAGCTCCCTCAAGTGAGGGTAAAACTGTAATAAAATAAATAACATCACATAAGTCTCCTACAACACATGAAAAATAAAAAAAATATAAAGACTCAATCAAGACCGTAGATCTCCGGCCTCTATGGTGATAAACCCTCCAAGCTCGATGTCCACGTCATTATAACTATTTCACATAATTATATCCCCTTTATTCTTGAAAATTAGTACAACCATGTTTCCTCTCTAATCATTTGACATCCTCTTAATCTCAAGAATCTCATTAAAAATATTCTCAAGAGTCTAAACTTTACTGTATGCATCGTATTCAAAGATAACTTGAATTTACTTCTTTGAATTAATCACAATATACTTGAAAATTCCCATTACTTTTTTCTTCTATATCCTTTAGGCTTTCATTTGGCAATTTCACAAAATAGCAATCATAATATATTTTAAGTATATTCATATTTAAATAAAATCTTATTTCATATTAATCCTTAAAATACACAATCTGATCAAAGTGTTAGATCCCCTTTCTCTTGCAGAAAACAAACATATAATTGTAATGCTCAACCAATACATCAAACAAAAATTTAGTTCAGTATCTAAATCCTTAAACATTATAGAAGATAATATCTAGTATCAATTGCCCAAATGCTCAGCCCACAATAGTTGAACCTCAATACCTCATTTAGGAGGACAGGAGATTACATGTACGTACATTAAAAAAGAAACTCACCTTTATTATTAAAGGTACTACTTTAGGAAAGCTAGCCGGCAGCAATAAACCTCTTCGAGCAAATTCTGCTAAAGCCAAGCAACCTCCATGCCATGATCCATCTCCCTTCAAAAGTCAAATTAATTTCAAAACAGATTATTGCTTTTCATTAAATTGAGAAGTGACAAATTAAATTAGAAGAGAAGCCATGGTTAGGCACTTTTATAAGAAAGATTAATATTTCCCTGGTTCTGGCATACCTCGCCAGGAGAAAATAGCTCTAATATAGAAGACAACACTTCCTCCGCAAGGGAAGACGTTAAGCATGCAGTAATTCGACCAATACCTTTTGCAGCAGACCATCTCACAACTGTGTCCTGCATGATTTAATTAACTTTTAGATGCCTATCAGCATGCTTCAAATCCAAAGTTACATCTGTGCCTGCAAACACTTTATCCTCATGTAACCAGCAAGAAACATATATGCAACTCCCTGATGCAGGGCATGTTAATGTCTAGGATTTTCATAATTCAAATCAATACAAAATGCTAAGATGAAAAATAAACGTCAAAAATGAATTATATATATATATATATAATTTTCAAGAGAATGCAAATTAATTAATGTGAAACAGATGCAAATTATCATGAAAACCTGGAGCTACTCCAACCTTTTCACATATATGCTCGTTCCGCATTCTATCTCTAAGTGTAAAGCCACTCATCCACCTGAGTATTCTCATCTCTGCAACACTTAATTTTAAGCTCCACTTTTAATGGCCAACATTCTGCACTATAAAACATTATAGGTATCACCACCATCTTATATAATTTACCACAAGTTTGAGGGGTACTTTTCTATCACACAACAGGCTTGATGCATTTCTTTACTTCAACCATCCAACTTAAACTCTACTAATAATATCTCAATCTATATCACCATCACTTTGAACAATAGACTCGATATACCTAAACAGTGTAACAATCCCCCACTAGATCTATTACGACTAAAATCACACACCATGTATTTGGTTTTATTAGATCTACTCAAACAAAAAACTTGTAGACTCTAAGGTTGACCTCAAAAATTCAAGTTTTCTTTCAACTCCCTCTCTAGTCTTATCAACAAGAAGAATATCATAAGCAACAAGCATACACCAGGATACATCCTGATAGAAAACATTTGCCAATCTCCAAATTACCTTGGCTGAATTTAAATTTCAACAAAGTGTGAAACTCAAAAGTGGAAGAATTTGATGAAAACACAAGTGGGAAAACAATTAAATTAATAATAGTAGGTAAAAAGCACACAAAATACAATGGATCTTCAATCGGAGAGGAAGATCCATCTCTCTCAACTCTCTAGACGTCACTAGAGCACAAAACAGCGAAGACAATCATAATTCAGCAAAATGCTCCATACCCTAACCACAGGAAAACATACTACTTAAAGCATGCAATCCAAAAAGAAATCTCTAAACAGCCCCTACTTTGAATTTTCCCCCCTAACCCCCCCAGGGGAGTTGCTGGAACCCACGGTTCGATGGCAACACTCTTGTAGACATGAGCCGGTCCAATGACCGGTCTAACAATACCTGCCTCTTAAAGACCCACATTGTCCTTAAGGTGAAAAGATGAAAACTAATGCTTCACTCTCTCATATGGTTCCTATGTAGCATCATAGTCTGGTAGGTTCCTCCATTTGATCAGCAGCACTTCCTTGATCCCTCCTTCGCCCTGTCATATCTCATTCAACTCCAGTGGTTCTAATACTACCTCCAGATCATCCGCTAATGTCGTTGAAAACTCCAAACTAGTTGTATAATCACCAATAGCTCTCCTCAATTAGGAGACGTGGAATACTGTGTGTATGGTAGCAGTCAGGGGTAGCCTCAATCGGTAAGCTATAGCTCTGACTCTCTCCACTATCTTGTAAGGGCCAAAGTACCTTGGTGCCAGCTTTTCATTTCTTCTGCTTGCTACCATCCTCTGTCTGTAAGGACGAAGCTTCAAATATATCATCTCTCCTATCTCAAACTGGATGACCTTCCTATGCTCATCAGATTGTTTTTCCATGATCTATTGAGCCCTCAGTAGATATTTTTAATTCTTCCAACACCTTATCTTGCTCCTCCAAGAATTGTTCCACAGAAGAAACCAGAGTGCTACTCTGCCCAAAATGCACCATGATAGGTGGATCCCTCTCATATAACACCTTAAAGGGAGTCATCTGCAAAGCCCAATGATGAGAAGTGTTGTAATAGTACTCCGCCCAGGTAGCCACTTGGCCAAAGTCGATGGGTCTCTGAAACAAAGCATCGTAGGCAAGTCTCCAAAGTCATGTTAACCACCTCCGTCTACCTATCTGTCTGAGGGCAGTAAGTGGTGCTCCTCTTTTTTACTATCCCCTGCAGCCTGAACAATTCTCTCCAAAAGTGACTGAGGAATACTTTATCTCAGTCGGACACTATAGACTATGGTATCCCGTGCAATCTGACCACCTCTTTGATGAATGTCGCTGGCTCGCTGCCATTGTCACTACTATGTAGGGATATTGTAGGGGGATGAAATGAGCATACTTGCTCAACCTGTCAACTACCATCAGAATCACTATAAACCCCTTAGATTGGGGTAACCCGTCTATGAAGTTCATGGTAACTTCCTCCCATACCCTGTCTGGTAGAGCTAGGGGTTGGAGTAACCCTCTCAAAGCCATGGTCATATACTTATTCTACTGTCATGCCTCACATCTAGCTACCATCTCTTCCACTTCCTTGTGCATCCATTTCTAATATAACTCTGATGTCAATCTGTTGTATGTCTTCTGCACACCAAAATGACCCCCACAACACTTGCATGGAACTCCTGTAACATGCGTGGAATATGAATCAAAGTCCGAGGCAACACAAATTTCCTTTGGTATAGCAGTCTTTCCCCCTCTAGGGAATAAGCAAGGTGGCTATTCTTATCCTTCAACAGATCTGCTATAATCCTTCTTAACTCCTCATCCTACACACTCTCTTCTTTAATAGCCCCTCAATCCATCATCAGTGACATCAATATGGCTAACTATGGAGCTGTCCCAAGTATCTGGATAAGGCATCAGTCGCCTTGTTCTCTAACCCTAGCCTATACTTGATATCAAAGTCATAGTCAAACAGATTTGACATCCACCTCTGATGCTCTTCGGTCACCATCATTTGCTCTAACAGAAACTTCAAGCTCCTCTGGTCTGTTCTGACAATGAAATGTCGACCTAATAAATAGGGCCGCCCTTTATGAATAGCCAAAATAATTGCCATCAACTCTCTCTACTAGAATGGCTTTAATCTAGCTCTAGCTGTCAACACCTGGCCATGGTCTTATAATTTTGCATGAGCACTTCCTCCAACCCACATCTTGAAGCGTCAGCCTCTACCACAAAGATCTGTCTGAAACTTGGTAGGGCCAACTCAGGTACCATGATCATGGCTTTTTTCAATCTCTCAAAGGCCTGGGCAGCCACCTCCCCACAAAAAACTATCATTCTTTAGCTGTTCTGTCAAAGTCTAGGTTATGGTGTTGTATCCCCTTACAAATCTTCTATAGTACCCAGTCAACCCTAGGAAACCCCTCAACCCTCTCAGAGTCCTAAATAGAGGTCATTTCAGCATTGCATCAATCTTGGTCTGATCAATAGTCACACCCTCCTAGGATATCATGAGCCACAAGTACTCTACACTGGTTTGTGCAAAACAATATTTCTTCAAGTTGGCCCTCATCTGCTACTCTTGTAAAACTCTTAAGACCACCCTTAAGTGCTCCAAATGCTCCTCCTTGGACCTACTGTATACTAGAATGTTGTCAAAGAAGACCTATACAAACTTCCGGAGGTATGGTCGGAATACTATGTTCATCAACAACTGGAAAATAGTATGGGTGTTTGTGAGGCTGAACGGCATCACTAATAACTCTTAATGCCCTTATGTGTCCTGAAAGCAATATTTGAGACATCACTACAATAAAATCACTAATTATCGGTGGTATTACTGACGATCAAAGAACCGCCGGAATTAGCGACAATTAAACTGGCCGTGTGACCGTCGGTTTTAACCGGCAGTTTCTAATAATAAACCGTCGGACATTCCGGCAGTAAAATGACCGCCGGATATGCTGCCGATTTTTTGTTTGGGCGTCGCATATTACCGGCGGTTTAGCCACCAGTGTTAAGTGATTTTTTTCCCACGGTCTAAACCGCCGGAAAATCGCCAAAAATTAACCTAAAATTGGTCATTCAGCCCTTCCTCCTCATTTCTTCGCGTTCTGTTTTTCGTCCAAGCTGCTCTCGCCCTCACCTCCGACTGCGTCCGTAGGACTCCGGCCACCAACGCCCCAACTCTGGCCGCCGACGCCCCAACTCCGGCCGCCGACGCCCTCACTCCGACCGTCGACGCCCTCACTCCGGCCGCCGACGCTCTCATTCTTCCTATCGATGTCCTTACTCTGCCGGCATGCCCTCACTCTGGCCTGTGAACGCCCCGAGCCGAAGGTGATATCCGTGTTTTTACTTTTTTTTCTTTAGTAATGGATGTTCTCACTTGACAATTGAAAGAGAATATGTATGCAATAGGTATTACTTGTTTTCAAGCATTAGATGGTTTGATAAAGAGAATATGTATGAAAAGACCGTATGAAGAACTTGTTTTTGATGTAGCAGGTCTTAATTTAAGGGCTAGTGTGGAAGAGCCACCAAATGCAGAAACCAAAAAATTTATTTGAGTTACTACATGCAGCTCAAAAATCAATTTAAATTGATTCCAAAACTCATTCAAAATTATCGATTGTTGTGAGGATGCTAAGTATCAAAATTGAAAATTAGAAGAAGAAGAGCAAGAGCCAACACCTGAATCACAAGGCAGCGAGGACACGGATGATGATTAGTGTTGTTATTTGTTTGATGAACTTTTTGATGTATTTTGAGCATCTGACTGTAGATTTTATATATTATGTTTGATTCTCGAACATATGTATTTTTCTTTGTTTAAAGAATTGTTTCCACTTATTGTGGATTGTGCAAATATAATTTGTTGAATTTGTTTTGTTATTTCATATGCAATGTTATGTTAATTTTGAATTCCATTTATGTGGGTGAGTATAGTGATTATTCAAATGTTATGTATATTTTGAATTCCATTTAAGTCAGGATACCATCAGAACTTGTTTTATAGTTGCCCTTAAATTTTCTGTTTTATATATGTTCTGAATTTTGTATAGGTATTGTGAAAATTGGTTTAAATAAAGGGGGGGCTGAAAATTTTTTTTTTAAATGCTACGGGTTTCCGGCGGCTAAACTTCGATACCGGACGATTTACAAAAGTCGTCGATGTTTTAATCTAGCTGCCGGTAATTACCGACGGTTAACCGGCAGCTATGCCACCGACTAATCCGGCGATTTAATACAGGTCGGTACACCGCCAGTAATTAACTGGCGGTCGCCGGCATTTTGACCACTAGAAATTACCGGCTGTTTTAGCCGTCGGAAAACTCAGCCGCCGAAAAATGGAGGCCGTTGCAATTTGTTTCCTATGCGCTTTATATCGGCGGATCATGAACAGCCGGAAAACCGCCGGTAATTTTTAAAACAGCCGCAAAAACCATATAAAGCGCAGTAAAGTGTCACCAGTATGTGGTGATTTTCCTATAGTGCATCCTCCTCCCTTATCGTGATATGATGGTATCCTGACTTCAGCTCCATCTTGGTGAACACCACAGCTCCACACAGCTCATCCAATAGCTCATCGATCACCAGTATGGGGAACTAGTCCAATATAGTCTCCTTATTCAAGGCCCGATAATCAACACAAAACCTCTAGCTCTCATCCTTCTTGTCCAACAAATATTGTGCTAGAAAAAAGACTCACATTAGACCTAATGATCCCCACCTCCAATATCTACCGGATCAGCTTCTCAATCTCACCCTTCTGAATCTGAGGGAAGTGATAAGGTCAAACACTAATTGTTGACATCCCCACCCTTAGGATGATGGCATGCTCATGCTCCCTCGGTGGGGATAAGCCCTGAGATGGCTGAAAAATCTCACTAAACTGTTGTATGAGTAGTACTAAAAAAAGAGCCCCCACCCCCTTCCTCTAATATGATCCCTTCTAAGTTTTGCAATTCCACCAAATATCCTCCCCGCACCCCCTGTATGGTCCTTACCATGATTTTGAGAGACACCATGGCTTTGGAACCCTGAATCTCCCTGGATCACCACTCTTCTTCCTTCCACCACTAGTTCCATCATCAGTGCTCTCCAATTAACCTTGGTATTGCCCAAGGTCTGCAACTACTTCATCCCCAAGATGATATCAGTGTTTCCTAACTCCAATAGGAGAATCTCCTCCCTCACCTATACCCCCGTACAGTCAGCACAACTCCCCTACACACTCCTATACCCATCTCCACCTTCCCAGTGCCCATCATCACCAAATAGTCCCCCGGTGTCCACTAATTTCACCCCTACTTGGTCAACGACCTGATTGGAGATAAAATTGTGAGTATCCTCACTGTCGATTAGCATCACCGTCTCTCTATCTACTATTTCTCATTTCACTTTCATTGTGTGATTCAGGGTGAACCCCACCACTAACTTTAAGGAGACTTCAGTCATGTCAAGATGCAACTCTTCCTTCGCTTCTACCATTGTCTCACTCTCAACTCCCTCCTCAGCTTCCTCGTCATCATAGACGGTAAGAACCTGAAGAATTCGGTCCTTGCACCTGTGCCCCGGCATGTACCTCTCATCACATCTGAAGCATAATCCCTTCACCCGTTTCTTTTGCAACTCCTCAGCAAGTTTCTTTAAATTTCTCTCAAATCTCCCTCCTGCACGCTTCTCCTTTAGGGCCTCACGAAGGCTTCCTGGTGTTGGGCCCTTGGGAGCTAAGAACATGGTGGTCATCCTAAATGAGCCTCCTGAACTGCTGCCTCTGGCCTCCCTTTCCAGGTGTTCATTGTCCTTCAATAATTGTGCTAGCTCCATAACCTCTCCCAAGTGACAAGACCTCATCACTCTAACCGCTTCCCAGATCTCCAATTTGAGTTCCTTCATGAAGTTCCCCTCTAACACCGTCTCGGAAAGGCGATCGAGTTGACCAGCATTACTTGAACCTCTCACGGTACTCTACAACAGAGCCATCATGTGTCACAACAAAAAACCACTCGTAGAAGTTTCCTCCCCTATTGGTTCGAAAATGTTCCAACAAGTAATCTTTGACCTACCTCCAGCTCTGTATGGGTCGTCGCAATCCCTCCATTGCTGTCATCAGTCTCTCCTCCTCTGTCAAGCCGTTGACGATGAAATACCTCTCCACCTTGTAGATCCACCCGTGTGCATCATCTCCCTCAAAGATAGGCATATTCAGCTTCCTCACCCTCGGATCTCCCTCATTCCCCCTATTCCTCCATAATTTCCCCTTCCCCGCATGGGTGATTCTCCCCGATCCTCCCTTCCACATTCATACCCAAACCCACCATCAATTTCCCCCCTCCTTACAAAACCATCCCCCACTTGATCATACTCCTCATACTCACGTTTTTCCCAATACCTTCTACTCATCTCCTCCCTTTGAATAAGCTCGATAGTAGGTCTTCTTTCTTCTCCCTCCAATATCTCCACATTCTAGTCATCCCTCCTACTGTCGAAATTGATATTCCCCCCCTACCATTACTTTTTCCTTTGATGTCGCCTTTAAGTTGTGAAAATCTAACACCCTCTTCACTATCTCTTCTAAGTTGGAGAACTTATCCTCGATGGAGCAGATTTTGTCTTCCACCGTTGCTTTGATTTGACTCATCTCTCCTCCAAGATGCGGTCATCCCTCTCAAGGATTGGGTGGCAATAAGGGAGGAGTTCCGCCTCTCATAGACATGAGCTGGTCCAGTGAGGATCGGATGGACCAATCCAATGACCGGTCTAACACCCTCTCTAGCAAATGTCTAGTAAGAACATCCATGATTCAAACAAAAAGAAATCTTAAAGCTGATCCTTGATGTAGTACAACTGAAATAGGAAAATACTTGGTCAAGCCACCATGTGTTTGAACACAAGTAACTGCTCCTGCATACGTCTCCCTAAAGATTTGAATATAATCATTATTAACTCATTTCTTTTCTAGAACTCTCTAGAGCACTTCTCTTAGAACTTTATCATATGCTTTAACTAAATAAATAAATATCATAAATAAATCATCATTAGTCTCCCGTAAACTTCTCCATCAAACCTCTCAATAAATGTATAACTTCCATAGTAGACCTACTCGACATGAATCCAAATTGATTTTGAGAAACATTAGTATCACATCGTAACATATGCTAAATTATTCTCTCCCATAATTTTAATGTATGATGCATTAACTTAAATCATTTATAATTCACATGCTCTTGTGCATCATCTTTATTCTTAAAAGTAGAACTAACATACTCTTTTTCACTAATCTAGAAAGTAGAATCTTTTCAGTCTTCAAAGTAACATAAAAAAAATTTAGAAAACCGAAAAATTCCTTCATCTCCTAAGCATCTCCACACCTCTATTGAAATATCATTAGCTCCAACTACTTTTCGACACTTTATTTTCTTTAAAACCTCTCTAATTTTGATTTTACCAATACGCCGATAAAAACAAAATCTCAATTTTCATTTAAGTGCTAAGGTCATTAAAGTCAATTGTATTCTCACAATCTTCATTGAAAAGCTTATCAAAATATCTCATCTACCTTTGTTGAATATCTTCTTTTAATAAAAGCACTTATTTTATCTTCATCCTTAATGCACTTCACTTGAACTAAATCCTTACTTCTATCTCTTTGTTTGGCTAACTTATACATACATCTTTCGACCTTCTTAGTATCTAATTTATTATATAAATGATTAAAAGCTATATTATTTGCATCTTCTATTACTTTCTTAGTCTCCTTACGAGCTCCTCTATATATTTGTTAATGTCTTGAGTTTTTACATCTAAATAATATAACAAAACTTCTTATTTTTATCTTTTCTTGTATATTCTGATTCCACCAACTATTTTTATTATTATAAATTTTTCCTATTGATACCTCAAGCACATACTTTGTAATATTTTTAACATCACTAGTTATTTTTACCACATAACATTAGCTTCCCCATGCACAATCAAAATCTTGAGATCTTGAATTTTATTCTCAAAGATATTTTTATTAGCATTCTTTAAATGCCCTCATCTAATCTTAGGAGAAAATTTTATATTGACTTTCATATTTCACCTCTTCATCTTAAAGTCTAAAACTAATAAGCGATATCGGATACATAAACTTTCACTTGAAATTACTTTACAATCTATATAAAGTAATGAATCATAATCAACAGACTAAACATCCATCACAACGGTAGAAAACTGAGATAATATATTAAAAGTTTTCCACATAACCGTACCGAATCTTTCAAACCTGAGAGTAGCAGTTCAATTATCTCTTCTACAATTTCTGGAACATCAATATTGTCCTCTTCAAGAATTTCTGCACTTGATATTTCATTGACATGGACAACTTGTTGATCATTGCTACAGGGATAAATTATTTCTGTGGCATTCAACAGAATATTTTTCCCCAGTGCACTAATCCTTGCCTGCACAAGAAGCAAGCACTTTACTGAAATTAGTCTTCCAAACCATGTTCAAGAGAACTTTTTCAACGTATGCTCAGAAAAAATGAAAATGAGCCTGAGCTCCATAAAAGATGCAATATACAACCAAAATATAGTATGAGGCTATTGTGAAGATTTAAAATGTGGTGCATCCATCAAAACATCAACTTAAGATAAAATACTACTACTTATCCATGATATCTAAATCACAATCAGGTGACATCTAAGAACATGCAAAACTGTAAAGATGGAATATATTCAAAATTAAAATGGAAGGAAAAGTGCAAACAAGCACAAAGAGCCAAAAAAATGAACCAATAAAAAAAATTGCACCATATAACGCCATGATGTAGAACGATGGGGTAAACATATAAGCCCAATACGTTGTGATAACTTGACAATATACTTCCGAAGCAAAGAGTTTCGAGCAGCCACAGAAGTCTTCATTAAGTGGGAAATGTTGGCCCAGGTTTTATCAACTGCATCAATAAGAATTTTCCGCTCACCAACCTGCATGAGGCCCAAGAAAGCAAGAGCGTTTTGAATTAGAAACTAGAATTAAAAATTAAATACAATATTTGGATGTTTGTTTGCAATCTGAATATAGCATAATGTTCAATAAAAATTCAGTTTCCACACAAAACTAAAGGAAATTGATTATTTATTTTGACTGCCTACATAAAACCATTGAGTAAATCCACTCCAACTGCCTTCTTACTCTAAAATACAAGAACATAAAAGGAAAAAGTAAATTTGATGAAATCTTCATGTTGATTCTCATAAAAGGAAAAAGTAAATTTGATGAAAATCCTATTTGTTTATTTTTATTTGTTTTTTTTTTCTTTTTTTGTTGTTGTTGTCGTCGTCTCTATAATTAAAAATATGTCTGTAATGATGGCCGAGAGGATTGAATTTAGTATTTTAAATTTAAGTTAGTTCCTACGTTTTAAAATGGTTTCAGCTTTTTTTTTTTTTTCATGGTAGATTATTCTCATATGTGAATGCAGTATTTTTAGAAGAGTTTTTAGCTTTCTGGATTTATTGCCTTGACACCATGGTTGTTGGTTTCATTCTGGATGTTATGCATGGGGTGGTGTAAATTTGCCATATCTGGATTTCGGCTTTGAGGTTGCGGCTGCTAGATTTTCCTTTAGCTTTTTTTTTTCCATGGTAACATTGTCGTTGCCAGGTCCCAAGTCCTGGATGAGAAAAATGGAGGATTGCGTTAGGTAGTCGACAGCCAGCGTAAAACTTGTCGAACAATAATGACATTAATCCTTTAAGAAATTGTGTTAATGCTAGGGCGTCCCCTGGAAGCGACGCGCTGTATGGCCTGAATACAGTGACAAATGTGCAAGGGC